TGTTTGCACACACACGCACACACACATACACACACGATTAGGTTAGGTAGGATTGATGGGGAGATCTAAAGTTAGAAATACTGGCAAAACCATCCAATACTGACTTAGAAATATAAAATTTAAAATTCAAACTCTGGTCACCAGATTGGACTCAAATTACGAAACTGTTTGACTTGACCTTTGAAAGCCTTATAAATAGCTCGTCCTTAGAGCTGCCTGCACTGCCGCCTTCTGGGATCTGCTACCCACAGAATGGGTCTGCTCCTGCCCCTGGTGCTCTGCACCCTGGCTGTGGGCTCTGGGGCTACATCTCCACCCCAGCAAGTCTTCAACCCATCGCCTTTACTCTCCCGGGGCTGCAATGACTCAGATGTGCTGTCATTTGCTAATTTTGTCCTGAGGGACATCAACAGGGACCGCAAGGATGGCTACGTGCTAAGCCTCAACCGAGTGAGCGACGTCCGTGAACACAGACAGGCAAGTGATGGTCCCCTACCCGGGCAGGTGCTCGCTGGGCTGGCCAGGGCTGGGGACCAGGGACACATGTTGCCGGTGCTTTCCAAACTGGAAGCTGCTAAACAGCTCTGCTCTCCTCTGCCAGGGTGTCTGCAATGCTCTCACTGTCACTAGAGACAAAGCTAATCGCTACCCCTGTCTAGTATTGCAGATGTGATGAGAAGTTTTGACAGGCATCTTAGCCTTGACTCTGCTATAAAACAGAGACATCAGTGGCCAGTCTGTAGGGGTTGCTGCTCATGTGGGATGTGGTTGCTTTCTCCACCTCTGCCTACAGGACGGACCAGCAGCTGTGTACTATCTCACCCTAGACGTGTTAGAGACTGACTGCCACGTGCTCAGCAGGAAACCTTGGAAGAACTGTGGAGGGAGATCACTGCATGAATTAGTAAGTGCTTGTGTCCAGGGGCTCCAGGGGAGAAAAGAGGTGTCCTCTGTGTATGGGATGAGGGTTGTTCGGGGTAATCATCTTTTTAAATGCCACTCTTTATAATCACCTGAACATGGTGCCTTGTGCTCATTCTAGTTCTATAAAAAAAATGGTTTAACTCATTTTCTGAGGGGTTTCTGAGGGTCCCTTTGGAATTATGAAACCCAGAATGAAAAGTGGCATCCTGTAGATGCTAAGCCACTGTTTAACTTGTGAGATAAAGTTCTGAGGTGAAGTCCTCTGTTGTGTGTTTAAGGAAAACTGTTGGGTGATTGAGGGAGATGGATGGATTTGCCAGAATCAATAACACTGGATGGATTTGCCAGAATCAAATAACCTAAAGATTTAAAGGCCTTCAGAATTAATCATTTTAATGATGACCATGGGAGAGGCTTAAAAATAGAAGTCAGTTTATTCTCAACATGCTGAGCTTATTTCCATTTGTCAATAGAAAGCTTATAATATGAGTGCAGGATCACGTTAACAAGGAAGTTATTGGATCTAGATACATTTTCTAATTATTTATTCAATTTGTCAAACTGTACCCACCTGATTTTGATAAGCAAATAATCTATTTACCCTGCTGGAAATTGTATACTTGTTAAGGTCGCACTAGCTGTGATAACAATAGACTTAAAATTGTATACTGAGTCCAACATGACAGAAGTTTGTATCTTTTTCATGTGAAATTCAAAATAGAAATGTGTGATCAAGAAGTCGTTTTCTCCAGGAGTGATTAGGGGACCTGAGGTCCTTCTGCTTTGTGGCTGTGACTCTGCCACCTCCTACTCCAGGCTTCTGGGGTCACCAGCACATTTGCCTCAGCTCTGGCAAGAGAACCAGCAGCAGGAGGGCAGATGGCTCAGGGGAGGTCTTCATGGGCCCGACCTGGCAGTGGTTACAGTCACTTCCGCTCACCTTCCTGTGTTACAACTCAGTTGTGCCCAGTCACGTGGGACCAGGAAGGAGCATGGGGAATGAGGTCTGGCTGTGCCCCAGAAGTAGGTTAAACTGCTTGATAATCAGCTGGTGGTTTCCCACAGTCAAAGCCACCAGAATAGTCCTCCAGCTTTTCACAACTTAAAAATAAAATGTTCAATTTGGATTTTGTTTTTTTTAAGTCTTAGACTCTTCTTCCATGTCATAAAGTAAATGTGTTTGTTCTAGGTTTATGGTCAATGCAAAGCATTATTTTATATGCACAAGACAGCAAGAATCCTCCATACACTTTCTTATAACTGTACTCTTCGCCCAGGTAAAATGTTGCTTTGGTTTTGTTCATTTTAGTAAAAGATGAGTAAGAAGCATTTAAGCAGGGCAATGCCCACATGTGCAAGGTTTTCTTTTCTTTGCTATCATCATTCCAAGACCATGTTTCCACTGCATCCAATACTGGCACTTCCCGCTTCCACAAGTCACCTGCAATAATTGCTCAGCATTGGGTACTATATGAATCCTAACTCACTGTTAAGTTACAAATGTCATAATTTCTATGTCTGGTGCCCAGGTGCCCTTTCTTGCCTGTTTGCAGATATTCTGACTCCACCGCTCTGCACTCCACCAGGCTGGATGCCCCCCTGTTTTCTGAACACAGCTAATATTTTCCAGCCTGTGCTTCTTACTCATTTGGCTCCCTCTGCTCAGGATGCCTCCCCTGATAGCCTCTGATTTGGAATTCATATCCATTCTCTGAGGACCATTGACACAGATGCTTCTTCCACAATGTTCTCTGTTCAAGAAATGACTGAAATGACTGGTGCTGTCCTTTCTACATCCCTGTAAAACTTTAATTAGGCCACCCCTGGAGCTCACACCATGCACTGCCTTGATTTGGGGGTCTTTAGTCATCTATCATGGAAACCTTGCATCTCTTCTTGCTGCCTGTTACAACCCTCCCTTATTTCTGTCATATGTATGTCGTCCATTATGATGTCTAAAAAACAAATGTCCTAAGATAATGCTAAAAGTCATGATTTTTGAAATATGTAAGAACATGCATTCTGGATCCTGCTTGAATAAGCATCAGTCAGGACCTGGGATATAGGATATGGCCACTTATCAAGCTATTATGTACATAGGATACTCCTCGCCAATTATATTCCATGGCAATTTCTGATTCCCTAAGTCTGGGGTGGGACTTGAGAGTCTGTATTTCTAACAAGCTCCAGGTGATAACTGTGTTGCATTTTTCTTGAGGGAGAATGCAACAGAGCAAATATATTACTTACCATCAGTTAAGGTTCCTGAGTATAAAGATGGGACTTGCCTAATATAAATTAAATAACAACCATTAATCAGAATCAGGACTTAAATAATTTAGTCAGAATTGACCCCAGAATGGTGCCAAGAGTGATAAGCAGGACGTAACTACTCCTTAATCTAAATCACCCCAAACTCCAGCACAATAAATATGCAAATAACTAATACAATTGTCTAATAACAGTTGTCTGACTATATATACTCTAGAAAATGAACTTCAGTCAAGTCTCTGATCAATTTTCTCACTAGATTTGCCACCCCCTTCTGCTTCCAGTCAGAAATTCTGACTGTACCACTAGTGTGATAATTCTGTCCAGTCACAGACTGACCTAATCAATTTTTGTTTTCTGACTCATTTGCATTTTCTAACCAAACACCTTCTGCCTCCACCTTCAGTTGGGTTATTTCTTCTATCAATCAACAAATATTTGCTAAGAATTATCATGCATTAGATATTACGTTTGATGATAGGGACTTAAAGGTAAAAAAACCGTGATGGTAATGAAATCTCAAACTTTTAAGACACCCAGACTCCCTTACAGAGGCAATGCTTCTGGACGATATTGAACCCACTGGAAGTGAAGTCTTTAAATCAATATAAACATGAGTTTTCAGCAATATCCCATCACATACATAAACCAATGTGTGAGAGGGAAAAAAACTTACTTTGATTTTACTTTAATTATCAAAGTAATACATTCTATTGCACAAAACTCACTGCTGACAGCTTTCTATTCAGAGAATGCCATTCATTCCATCCTTGATGAAACTCTGCATTATCATTTTTTACTTACAATGTCTGTCTCTGTTGTGGTCATACAAAATTGGGATTAAAAATCATAAAGGATCTTTGTGGCTCAAGTATTTTTGTCATCAACAGTTTCTCGAAGAAGCATTCACCAAATCTGCCCCAACTGCCCCAGCCCCATTGATTTATCAGATTCCAAGGTCTTGGAAGCTGCCACTGAGTCTCTTGCAAAATACAACCGCGAGAGCGCCTCAAAGCAGTATTCTCTGGTCAAAGTCACCAGGGCTTCTAGCCAGGTGAGACTGAACACCCCTGGCGTTACACCAACAGTGAGTCTCCCACGTGTAGCCATGGAGCCAGAGCTGAGAGGGGGCTGTCAGGGCTGTCTTTTGATAAGCAACCTCCTGGTTCTTGGGATACCTGATGCCCGCACAATCGTGGGATTTGCACAAGTGTGTGACTCCTTTATTTTATTGGCCTTAAGGCAAGGAGGGAAATGTGAAACCCAGTCTCTGGTTTCTCTACTTGGGGTCACTGTTTATTGCTACATTTCAGGTCTAAGTGACCGAGGGCCATTCAACAAGTCAGCTTCTGGTCATGTCAGGGTTGGGAGTGGATGCTGAGGGAAATGGAGGCTCAATTGTATTTGCTTTATGTTGCTATCTATCAAAGTGGGGAAAACTAATCTAAAAATAAATTTACCTGAGGAAAAATGAGGTCACCCAAGTGAAGGCTTTTAGAGCCTGTTCATTCCTAAGAAGGGGAGGGAGGTGTGGTGGTTATTTTCTACATATCAGAATCCTATTGCATGCTTTGTTCATGTTGGGTTTACAGGGACACTGGGATACCTGTGCTAACCCCAACTTGGGGGTGTACGTTTCTGTAAATATCATGCTGTCAAATCAACATTTCCTCACTTGGAAAGTCTGATTTTTATTTCTCAACTATTGTCTCATCCAGTGGGTGGCTGGACCTTCATGCTTTGTGGAATATTTAATCAAAGAGGCACCTTCTACCAAATCCCAGGCCAGCAGCTGCACGCATCAGTCTCCTGACTCAGAGGTGAGTATCTCTGAATTTCCTCAGAATTTAAGATTTGTGTTCACAGATGAGAAATATTTAGTAAGCATATTTATTTTTTATTCTAAATTATACGTGAGGTTTTCTAATGCATGAGATGCTTTTGTTCAGCTCAAGGTGCAACTGACTAATAGAAATTGTGCTGGCCCACCTGCACTGATAAGATATTATTTGGTTACAAGTGCATCCCATCAGCAAAGTGATGACACTGTAAAAATGATCACAGAAGGCTGTAAAGTGTAGATGAATCTCCTCAATGATTGTCCTTAGCTGGACAAATCCAGTTATTTTTGGAATCCATCTTGGTGTTCCTTTCCCTGGACTACTCCCTCAGAAGGAGCAAGTGAACACAAGTCTTCATTGACAGAAAGTATCCAGGTGAGGAGGGAGCCTTGAATCCATGGGAACTCCCACACCTGCTGGGAATGTCAGTGGCACCCTGTTTTGTAGTATAGTTGGGAAAATTGCATCAAAAGTTCTGTTTTGTTTTTAGTCAAGATTATTTGGGATATGATTGATCATTAGCATTTTCACAATAATGTTGAATTCAACTTGGCAGTTTCATTCCTAAAAAGGCAGTTGGAAATTTCATAGGAGTATAAATTCATTTTTGGTTTCTTTATTGCAGATGTGTAGAAATACTATTGCTCTCTGTATATTGACCTTGTATCCTTTACTTTTTTTATTTAATTTTTTCCAAACACATGCTCTTTATTTTTAGTGTTATAGAAATAATTTCACATTTACAGAAAATATAAGAATAATAAAAAAACCTATATGCTCCTCACACAGGTTGTTATTATAATAGTTAATTTATTACACTTAATTTATAATAATTAGGTGTAATGGTAATTTAAATTAATTATATTACTTAATAATACTAATTTCTTATTAATGACTATTATAATAAGTTAATTAAATGTTAGCAAATAATAATAATTTTAGGTAATTATATAACCAATTAATTATAATAATATGACTAAAATAATATAATTACATTTATTTCATCATAATTATTATGTCATATATTTATAAATTATTATGTTATATAATTATAAATATATGATTATAATATATTATATATAATATATATTATATATAATATAATATAAAATAATATAATATAATATAATATAATATAATATAATATAATATAATATAATATAATATAATATAATATATATAATATAATATAATATATATAAATTATTGTCTACTTATTAATTATTGTCTACTTATTAATATAAATTATTGTCTTCTTATTAATTTTACAGGGAGAAATTATAATTACCACCTAACCTAAACAATTCCTGTTGGTGCTTAAGAGTCCGGGTGGATGGGAAGAGAAAAGGCAGTGGGGAGCAGGGAATAGGAGTAAGAATACCAGGGTAGGATGATAGAATAGGAGGGAAGACTGAAAAGTACTTCATAACTCTGGAGTGAGCTGGTGAATGTTTTACATTTCCTCTCCCTTCCCCCTATACCAGAATCTTCAATCAGTAGACTGAACAGAGAACAAATATCTAAAGTTTTTTTGTTGTTTCTAAAGTGTAAGCATTGCCATACCATTTTTCAGTGTTCAAGATATTTACGAATTTTCCTTCACTGTCATGGTCTTACTTATTTGTGAAATATAAACAACCAAAGAGAACAAACCGGCCAAACAGCAGAGTATTCCTAGGCTCCTTGAATAGGAGACCAGGAGACCGGTTACCACACAGAATGGAGGAGGGGCGCATGGAGGCAGGAGGACACACGGAGGTGGTGCTGAGCTTTGGTGCAGGATGGGTGAGGCATGTACAACTTGTGAAACTACACCCAAAATTATATTCAGGTAACCAGAGGCAAATCAATAATTTTTTTTTTTTTTAAAAAAGGAAAAGCGCAGCGCATACTCCTGGGACTCAGGGCAGGGGGCTCAGCAGCACTCGATGTCAGACCCTCAGGATCCAGCTGCTGGAAACACATAAAGGAAGGAGACTTCAGAAGAGGGTCTCCTACACGCAGTATAATTCAGGAAAATCAGACAAAAATAAATCAGCTTCCACAAATGCTCCTTTTAGAAACATTTGGTCTTGGGTCCCCTGACCCAGGGGAAGGACCTGCAGCTGAACTGAGCAGAGACTTTTCTGGGTCTGTCAGGGAAAAAAGGTGTCAGCCCTTTGCCACTCTGTTACAGAAAGTATCAGTGGCCTTCACTAATGTTTTCAAAATTAGGAATTTATAGATTCAGATTCTGGAAAAGAACAAAGAGGAGAAGGAGAGTGTGTATTTCTATGCAGAAAGTCGCACATAGCTTAAGAAATTGTCCCTTAGAGTTCCAGAACATCAGTTTCCTTATTTTAAAAAAATGAATAAGATAAAAAAATATCTCTGAGCATGGGTGGAGATGGGGTGTTTGACACAATAGACTAGTTTCTGTTTATCTTCCTTCCCATTAGATGTCATTCCGACATGCTGTGTGTGATGCTATCTTTTCAGAGAATCCCTTCCTTTAAATGACACAACAACGTCCTGAGAAATTTGATGACAGGCCTGAAACCACACAGGCAACCAGGATCGAACCCCAACCTTCCCACCCACTCGGTGAGTGGGTGGTGTTTGCTGTTCTCCATCTGGTGGACCTTGGGTCAGCTCTTGAGGCAACAGACTTGCACCATTAACTACAGGGCAAAGTCAACAGACGCCCTCACATTTTGCTCCATTTCCTGCACATTTCCCGTAGGCTTGCCTGGAATCCAATGCCCTCAGGGAGGAAGGTGCTTTCACCCTAGTCAGGGTCACTGGCCTGGGCACTAGACACTCCTGGGCGGTCGGGGAAAGTCTGTCATCACACGCAGTTGCTGGAGCTGCTGAGTGGACTCTGTCCCTGGCTGTGTGACTTCAGGCATAGGTACAGTTGAACCCTCTGCCAGCCACTTAATTCATCCACAAAAGCAGAGACACTGTGTCTATTTTATAGGACTAAATGAGAGGGAGAATCAGAGACACTCATGTGTTGGTTGGGCAGCCAGCAGCAAGGGAGTTTATATTTACTGGGACAGCAGAGGGCAGGCTAAAGCTGTGAATGAATGTGGGGAAGGCCCTGGGGGAGCAGAGTAATGTGACAAGATGGGAATGGACAGCCCAGTGGCAGAGTGAACATTTCAGGGTCCATGGTAAGATATCATAAATGCAATGCAGCACCTGTCGTGGGCCCTTAGGGGAAAGGAACAGAAAAAACTGAAGTTCCCTGCTCTCCACTTTGTCATTGGAAGGGTGGAGAGGGAAGTGGTGCCATTTTGTCATGCGTCCTCTAAACAAAATCCTTATTTGAGCCATTATAAGAGCAGACAATGTCCAATGTAGGCTGAAAATAAGAGGATGAGTTAAAATGGCCGGACAGTCTGAGACACGCAAACAAATAACCACAAAATACAATTAATAAGACTGTGCCACAAAAGAGTCCAGGAAAAGGTGAGGCTTTTCAGTGGAAACACGGGGAAGGATTTTTGAAGAGGAGGCGGTTTAATGTGGGTTATGGAATAGCATTTAGACATATTATGGAGGGCAGAAGAGGACGTTCAGATAGGGAGAAGCATGAGGTGGCCCAGGGATAAATGACAAACTTCTCAGATGAGATGTAGCATCTGAAATGGCTGGGAGTGTTGTATGTACAGCAGCCTTGGCTGCTGTCACATTAGATTCTGGCCTTTCTAATGGAGTGTGGTGTCAGGTCAGTGCTGCTTTAAGTTTTAGTTTCTTGATGACACAATGTGGAGAGCCTTTCGATGTGCTTATTTGCCATCTGTCTCTCTCTCTGGTGATCTCAAGTTATTTTTTACCTCATATTCATGGAGTTGCTCATATCCTTATTCTTGATTTTTGAGAGTTCTTTATTTTCTATGCAGTCCTTTACCATACGTGCCTTTTGTAAACACGTTTTCCTAGTCTGTGGCTTATCAGTCAGCCCCTCAAGGCAAATATTTTATATCTTTACCATAAAGAAAGGAATTAAGCCTGGATACAATTTAGTCTATGTCTTAGTGATGTAAATACACATAATTAATGGTCATACATGCACTAGATGCATATTTTGAAAAAGTAAAAGAGCATGGAATTTAGAGTCAACACTGGTGGGACAGAATCATGTCTTCATCATTTTGTCCTTATCTGTCATACTCCATATGGATTCACAAGGAAGATCTTTTAACAATTTCTTATTATGTACAGTTTAAATGTTATATTTTCCCTTCAGGTTATACCAAGAGGATTTTCCCAAGTCAATAAATATTCTTCAAAAAGATTATTTTCAAAGGTCACATGATATTCTATGTTACATATTTGATAATCCATATGTATTATGGTATGTAATATATTTACCTTTCCTTCTTTTTTTCCCTTTGTCCATGTGTACCTTCCAATTACTTGTTTCTATAAAAATACTACGGTAAACATCTTTTTAAATTGTAAATTCTTTGAGAATCAATGTATTAGTTGACAAAAAATTTTATAACATTAGCTTTTTGTACTAGACATTCCATTTTAAAAAGAAAAGATTCAGGTTTTATCAGGTGTTTGATGTATGTATTTTGTTAATTTATTTTGAAAAAATAGACTTTATTTTTCAGAGTACTTTTAGGGTAAGGCACACTTGAATGGAAGGTATAGAGTTGCAATTCACTCCTTGCTTATTCTCTACTCTCTCACCCTCCTGTACTATAAATTCACATCAGGTAGAACATTTGGCATCATTAATGAAGCCACATCAACTCCTCACTATCACCCAAAGTCCATAGTTTATATTAGTGTCCACTTCTTGGGTTTGGACAAATGTATAAGGACATGTCTCCACCAAAGAATAGTTTCACCACTGTAACAGTCCTCTGTACTCTGCCTGTGCCTCCTTCTCTCCCCTCAATTCCCTGGCAACCACTGATCTTCTCTTACTATTTCTATAACTTTGCCTTTTCTAGAATATCATAGAGTTGGGATCTTCAGCTTGCAGCCTTTCATATTGGAAGGAGGGCAGAGCAACAAGGTGCAAAAAAAAAAAATAGACTTCTCATAACTGTACTTCTGCCAGCAGGATGGACCCGCTTGCAGCAACCACACAGCTAGACAAGAAACAGACTTGGCAAAAATTCTGCTCAGACTTCCATCTGCTGACGCCCGGCTATACCAAGGCTGCCAGATATCCTGCTCCCAGGTAAGAGGAACCACTGCTATTTCCTGCACCCAAAAATATGACCCAACCTGTCACCCCCTACCTTTCTCTTGCTCATGCAATAAAAGGACTTTACTACTTGGTTGGGGGTGCTGCCCTTTCTGCTTGTAGTTTCTGTTGCTAGTAAACAGCTGCTTTTACCTTTTGGACTGATTCTTTGTTGACCTGTGTTTACTACTCATCTCCCCCCATGCCACACACCCTCCTCCAGACTAACATGTTAACTCCTCCCACTTAGTGATTAAGTTTGGCTTCATCTGACCTTTAGTTTCTCTGTATTCCACCGACAAGTCAACTATCATTATTTGTCTTTCTCCTTCCAAATTATTTCACCTACCATAATTTCTTCCAGTTCCATCCATGTTGCCAAAAATGGCATGAGTTTATCTCTTTTGATCACTGACTACTATTTCTTATGGCTATATATGACATCTTCTTGATCTACTCATCTATTTTGGGGCACTTAAGTTGTCTTCATATTTGGATATTATAAAAAGTGCTGCCATGATATTGAAAGTCGTTTGCACGTTTGTAGGGTTAATGATTGTCAAGCTTTTCCGCCCTCCCGCCATTAGGATTGATGATGGATCTCTGAGGTCCTGAATGCATGCCGGATGGCGGGCACCTGGAGTGGGGTGTGGGCATTCTGAGAAAATACATTATTAAGGAAATGAATATAATAAAGATTCCAGCAGAACTTCCAGCCCAAGTGCAATGAACACTCCAATGCAGGCATAATCAGCAAGTTTGCTTACTTACAGCTCCTTCCCTTTCAAGATTCATGCCCAGGGTCTCAGCACTCTTATCTGCAAGGTCGGACAGCAGCCAAGCTGGTCTCTATCCAAGGCCATCCATGAATGCCTGCATCTTTTCCCCCTTGTATTGCCCCCCTTGTCTGGGGACTTTGCTGCAAATGGTTGTGCCTGCTGAAAAACGATGTTATCAATGTAACAGATATGGACACAGTTGTGTATAAAAGGAACTCTTGGTCTTTAAACGGGTGCTCAGACCTTACAGGGCTACCCACGTCTGGGACCTCATGCCTGAGTAATAAAGCTTCCCCTGATCTCACCATTCCTGAAGTACTTCTTGTTCCTCCTCTGCCTGGGTAAAAGGCTAGAATTTATTTCTATAACAGGCAGACATGGGTGGGTACACCAGGGCTGAGACGGAGCTTCTAAGGGTGGTGTCGCAGAATGGAACAGAACCAGAAGGAGAACAGGCGAGAGAGCAGAATAAAAGAGAAGCAGAAAAGAGAGAACAAGACCACAAGAGAACCCAGGAGAGTCCAGGAAGAGTGAGGATTTGCCGGGGCCTGGGAGGCGTGCCAGCCTTCTGGCCCCCCAGTACCCCTGCCTGCCGTGTACCTGGTAAATGACAATAAAAGCCTGAAAAGCCACCAAGGGCACCAAGACTCTCCATTACCCATCTGCACAGGGATTATAGAGATCCTGCACCATGCCTTCCTGCCATTACAACATTGTCCTCAGTATTGCATTGTTGCCATATGTAGTGACCTTGTAAATAACTTTGAGAAAGTTCCACGGAGATGACAGGGATGCTTAGGGTTTTTTCTTCCTCCTTTATTAGATTCTGCTCTGATCTGCTATATAAATTTTTGTAATTACATGAAACATGGCCTACGCTCCCATACACCTCCCAAATGCAAACAAGCAGGTCAACAACCCCAGTGTTGTAATGCTTGGACAGCACAACAGAGAGTCATTTGTCCTTTTGGAATAGGGCAAATAGTGTACGAGGGCAGAGATCCAATCAGGGCCCCAGAGCACTGAAGCAGAGGATATAAGAGGATGGAGATAGTTAAAATCAGCATCTAGATTGGCTCCCAGTTTTGGGGGGAACGTTTTTCTCAGTGCCTAGAAGGAGACTGTAAAGTCATGAGATTAATTACCGTCCTTTTCCTCTGCTCCAGGCTGCTATCAAGTTTGAGCCAGGAGTCCTTCTCACAGGAAATTGGCTGCGATGATGAGGATGTATTTAAGGCTGTGGATGCTGCGCTGAAGGAATATAATGATGAAAACCAAAGTGGCAACCAGTTTGTATTGTACCGTATAAGTAATATCATCAAGATGGTGAGTATGCTATGAAACCTTGACAGAATTTGGAATATGCTTTCACTTGGAGCCCAGGCACCCTTCCCTCTCCCTCCCCCACCACCACAAACCAGCAAAGTACTGATAACTTAAATATATATAATTTTTATTTGTCAATTATACCTTGATAAAGGGGCAGGGGAGATGGAGTTAGATTCTAAGCCATTAGTATCTACCTTGAAGCTATTGGCTTGAATGTGTCAAGAGTAACAGCTCTATTCTGAGTGGTTTGTAATATTTTTAGTCACTGATTGATATAGGCAGGACAAACTCTGACAATATATTTGATTTCAGAAATGTTCTAGTGTAGGTGGGAGGAAGGGTGTGTGTGGGGTGTGTGTGTGTGTGTGTGTGTGTGTGTGTGTGTGTGTGTGAAAGAATTCACCAGAGACTGTAGAATGTAGAAAATGTAGAAATGTATGTAGAAAATGGAACAGCCAGATTTATTGAACTACACTGCTAAGAGAAGCTGTGGGCGAGACAGAAGGGGTCTGGTACACAGAGTGAGGGTCTCAAGGCTCTGTGTATACTCCTGGCATCATTGCCTGGCTACAATGACTAGTCTTGGGTGTGACCTGATTGATGATCCAAATTGGCATAGGAGAGCATAAGCTCTTTGGATCATCACCTTAATGTCCAGGTTCCCATGGCAGTTTTATGGGCTCCCTCTAGCCATTCAAGCCTCCCAGACTTGCCTGCTGGGCAAATGGGAGCTTGGGATTTAAATTAGCAATTATACCATGACAAGAAATACAACTCTCTAAATAGTTTGTTTAAATGAATTTCACTGTAAAACACTGTGTCTCTGTGATAGCTGTTCAATTGTTTACTTTGGTGAAAAATAAAATCAGTCATTTGACATGAGGATTAAGACAAAAGCCCAAGAGAACGTTTTTTTCTGAAAATGAAATGGAGTCATGTGGTTCCATAATCTAGAGTCATCAGGCAGGAGTTCTGCTTCCGGGTCTGTCCAGTGTGTTGGTGGCGTCTTCATTGGCTGCCATAGCAGATGTCAACTTTCATTCAAAACTGTCTGTAGAATCACTTGTTATCTCTCCTTTCCAGTGTGACCACCTCCCACACTGCTACCACTTCCTGTTTTATTAAAATCTGAGACCTGGAGTGGACTCAGAGAGGGACTGTCTGACTCCAGCCCCTCCAGGTGCTAAGGTTATGACCCACCAGGCTCTGAGGGAATGGCCCCTGGGTGTCAGGAGCCCAGGACCCTCGGCATCTGCTTCTCCTGGTGGCAAGGCTGCCTCCTCCTGCCAGAATGCTGGCCTCCTGGCTCTCACCTGCAAAGTGGGGGGCTGGACAACACCACCTCTCAGGTCCTGCATGCCAGGATTGTGCATTTGAAAGCTCATCCAATTCACCACCTTCGCGATTTAGAAGTTTTATTTCCCATTATGATGTGATTGAAATATTGACAGTAAACAAAAAAATACTAAACTCACCTCCGATTAATTCATCCTACTCTCCAGAAATAACTGTTATCATTTTGCTCAAAAGTGAAAAAACATCCTTTAATTTGTTGGTTATCTAACTATAAAACTAATATATTTTTGTTTAAAAAACACCTTGACAATTCAGGAATTTTATTTTTTAAGGTTTAGAGTAGCATTATAATTTATTTTTTTAAATTTTTTAAATTTTTATATTTCCCATACAATTGCAGCCAGGAATGTTTGTTTTAAAGAAGAAAGTGAAAGACAGCTGTATTCCTACCACTGAAAGACAAACATTATAACAACTTTGTTGCACAACTTTTCAGACATTAAAAAATCATATGTCTACATATAAATTGATTTCTACAAATATGACCTAATGCTACAGATACTACTTTGTAACTTATATATATATGTGTGTGTGTATGTGTGTGTGTGTATGTATATTTACCTGGCAAATAATTGCCTCATTTATTGAATGAATAAATTAACTTTGTTATACATACATTTGTATATACATACATACATGTAAATACAAAAAGCATATTTGTCCAAGTCAATATATGAAATTTTTGGCACTTTTAATGTATGTTGGCCCCAATTTAATCAAACAAATATCAAATATTCATAACCACACCAGATCACACTCAAATGATTCACTGTGCGTCAGTAGGATGGACCTTACATATCTTTGTTTGCTTTTTCTCAGGGTGGCATAGATCCATTTTATTCCTTCAAGTACCAAGTCAAGGAGGGTGATTGTCCTGTTCAAAGTGGCAAATCCTGGCAGGACTGTGATTACAAACAATCTGCGGATGCTGTAAGTATGTCAGCTATTTCCAAGCCTCTGGTTTTCTGTGTCAAGACTACCAGAAATTTCTTCTGGTGCTGGGATGAGAAATATTGTGAGTCTGTTTCTGAGGTTGCCTGTGTACCATCAAATGTACAGAAAAGTCCCATGCTTGATGTCTGTGTTGTCACATAGACATAAAGGGCAGGGAGAGGCCAGTGGTTAGACATGAAGAAAGTGCCCCTTGAGAAGGCGACTCTGCTGACCCCCTGGGGCACATGGACAGGCCCAGAGACATCAGAGCCCTTGGGCACAGGTGAAGGGCTGGTGAGAGGGGAGTGGGGCCCTTCCCTTCACAGGCCTAAGCCAGAAACTCTCTGCCTCCAGCTAGCTGACCACTCTGAACTGGCTCCTCCCCTGTAACAGGAGAGCTCACAGGGACCCCATGGATGGGGGAAGGAGGCAAGGAGACACCTCCTGCAAAGGACTTTGCCTGGCAAGGGCTTGCCACTCCACAGCTGGTTGTTTTGCCTCAGTTCAGGGAGATTGCAGATGGGATCTTCTCAGCAACAAGCTAGTGTTCTCACTGTGGTTGCATTCACTTATTCCATGTGAAACATGGGCATCTTCTATGCAGTTTGAACATGGAAACTGAAAAGTGCATCAAGAGGAGAGTTAACAGTTTGGTTCTAAGGCATTGTGTACATCTTGGTAAAAAAAAAAAAAGAAGTAATTCCAGGCCTCAAAGCAAAGACTGAGATTTAAAGTCTCACCATTTATAGTGCCTCTCCTCCAAGCTCCCATGAATCTCAGTGGTTGGAAAAAAATGATCATTCCGTTATACAAACATTCATTTTTTTGCCTCAGAATTCTGTTAGGAAAAATCTTGACAAGTCTTTTTTTTTTTTTTAAGATGAAACTGTATTTAGTGCTGCTAAGTGGATGTCTCCATCTGAAAGATTGAGATAAATGGTGTCTTTTATAAATTTTTTTTAGGCCACAGGAGAATGCACAGCCATCGTGGGAAAAAATAATAGGACATTCACTGTAGCTACCCAGACCTGCCAGATCACTCCAGGTAACGGATATATCTGGTGGGGCTTCCCTGGGGGGGAGAATCAGTCATTTCTGTGTGCCCGGAGTGCAGCCTGGACAGAGCCCCCTACTGCAGGGAAGGCAGCAGGAGCTGTGCCATTTGTAGCCTCAGGGAGAGTGGGGTGGGTGCAGCCCCACACCCTGATCTGGGCCCAGGCTGCTTCCATTCACCACCTCAGGGCTACTCCCACCCTCTCCCTGCAGTGCTGCACTATATGGATGTGCAGTGGGGTGTCCTGCCTTCAGTTGTAGGCCCCTTCCCAGAGAGTAAATAACAGAGGCCTTGAGATCAGATCTAGTCTGCAATCTTACAAAGCTCTTCACCTTCTTGGCTTTCCTTTTCTTTATGTATTCAATATAAAGGTGGATGACAGTAATCCAGCTGCCCAGGATGCTAATTTTTAAAAATTTATTTATTTTCTTACATTGTTGTTAATTTTTGTACAGTGTTTTCTTTCTCCCTCAGGTGTTGACCCCGTAGTTCTTCCCTCCCCTGTTTTGACCCCCGTCTTTCCCCCTCCCCTGATCTATCCCTCAGATCTATGGTCAGTTTCCACCTTTCGTTTTTTTCCTGACCTTTTGTTTGGTCTCTATATTCCACCTATAATGAAACCATCCAATATTTACCTTTTTCCTTCTACTTGTTTTCCTTAGTATAATCCTTTCCAGCTTCAACTATGTTGCTGCAAATGGCATGAATATAACTTTTTTGATGACAAAGTGGTATTCCAGTGTGTGTGTGTGTGTGTGTGTGTGTGTTATGTATCTCATCATATCTTGATCCAATCATGTGTTTTGGGACATTTAGGTTGTTTCAATATTTTGGGCATGTAAATAGTGCTGCAATAAACATAAAAATGCAGGTTTCCCTTTGAATTAGTGTTTCTGTGTCCTTTGGGTAGATTCCTAGGAGAGGAACCACTGGGTCATATGGTAGATCCATTTTTAGTGTCTTGAGGAAACTCCATACACTTTCCATAGTGGCCAGATGAGTTTGCATTCCCATTAGCAGTGTAGGAGGGTTCCTTCATCACCACATCCTCACCAGCATCATTTATCTCTGGCTTTGTTTGTTTGTTTGTTTTTTGGTTTGTTTTTAAATATGGGCCATTCTCACAAATGTGAGGTGGTATCTCATTGTGGTTTTGATTTGCATTTCCCTAATCATGAGGGGTATTGAACATTTCATATGCCTTTTGGACTTCTGCAGTTCTTCTTTGATTCTTCTAGACTTTCTTGGATTGGGTTACTTGCTTTGAGTTTGTTGAATTGTGTAAGCACTTGTAGATTTTTTATATTGTTCCTTTCATCAGTTGTATGAAGTGCAAATATTTTCTCCCATTCAGCAGAGTGTTCATTTTGGTTGCTGTCTCTTTTTAGTTTGATGTAGTTCCAGCAGTTTATCTTCCTTGTTTTTCTTGCTTGTAGGGAAGGGTGCTCAAACGTATTTCTGAGTTTTATGTCATGGAGATTTTTGCCTAAATTTTCTTCTATACATTTTATGGTTTCAGGTCTTACATGCAAGTCTTTTACCCATTTTGAGTGATTTTTTATGTTTGGTAAAAGAAAGTAGTCTAGATTCTTTCTTTTGCATGTGATAGCCGAGTTTTCCCCGCACTGTTTATTGAAGAGACATTCTTTGTTCCCAGGTATATTCTTTGCTCCCTTGTCTTAGGTTAGTTGACTGTTTTCTATTTCTTTTTTATTCAGCCCTGGGTGATTGTATAATTGTAAGAATTTGTCTATTTCATCTAGATTGTTGAACTTGTTTACATTTAAGTGTTCATAGCAATCTCTAATTATCTTTTAGATTTTTGTTGTGTCTGTTGTAATTTCTCCTCTTTCATGTATGACCCTATTTATTTTAGTTTTCTCCTTCTTTTTCTTTGTGGACCTGATTAGAGGTTTGTCTATTTTATTTTTTCAAATAACCAGCTTTTGGTTTCATTGATCTTTTGGATTATCTTTTTAATTTCTATTCATCTATTTCTACTTTGATTTTATTATTTCTTCTACTGTGTTTGGCTTTTTTGTGTTGTTGCTCTTGTTGCTCTAAATTTTTATAGTTCCTTAACGTGGGAGATTAGGTTGTTTTTAGGGTTCTCTCCTTTTTCTTGATGTGGGCCTGTATTGCTCTATATTTTCCTCTTACTACTACTTTTGTGTGTGTCCCATATATTTTGGAAGGTTGTATCCTCCTTTTCATTTGTCTCTAGGTAATTTTTCATATCTTCTTTGATTTCCTCATTAACCAGAGGTCTTTCAGTAGAACGTTGTTCAGTCTCCTCATTATGGGGGATCATCTTGCTTTCTTTTCACAGTAGATTTTTAGTTTAATATCTCTATGGTCAGAGAAGACATTCAGTAAGATTTTAATCTTCATGTTCTTGTTGATGTTTGTCTTGTTACCCAGTACGTGGTCTATCCTGGGAGAATGATTCATGTGCACTTGAGAAAAATATGTATTCAGATTTTGGGGGGTGCAGTGTTCTATTGATGACTTTTAGGCCCATGTGGTCTAGATCTTGGTTTAGTGCAATTGTGTCCATATTTATTTTCCATCTTGTTGATCTGTCCATTGCTGAGAGTGGGGTGTTGAAGTCTCCTACCACATGTGTATTTTGTCCAAAGGCTGTTTTCAGAGATGATAGTAATTATCTAATGTATTTTGGTGCTCCTTCATTTGGTGAATATAAATTGATCAGTGTTACAACTTCCTGGTATACTGTCCCCTTGACCATTATGTAGTGTCTATCTATGTCTCTTGTCACCTATTTTAGCTGGATGTCTGTTTTATCTCATATAAGTATGGCTGCCTCTGCCTTCTTTTGGGTGCCATTTGCTTGTAGAATTGTTTCCAAGCCTTTACTTTCAATCTGTGGTTTTCTCTGGAACTTAGGTGTGTTTCCTGGGGGCAGCAGAAGGTTGGATTCTGTTTTCTAATCTAACCTTCCACTCTGTGTATTTATATTGGTGAATTTAGTCCATTAATGCTTAAGGTGAGTATTGCTATGTGGAAATCTGTGACTGTCATTCTGTTGATCATTTTGTGGTTCTCTCAATTCCTTGTTCAGTTTTTCATATTCATTCCTCTGTTGGGTTAGATCCAAAAGCTCCTTTTAATTTACTTGCAGTGGGGAGTTAGGAGTAGTGAATCCCTGAAGAATTTGTTTGTCTGGTGGTGCAAGGGGTTAAGCATCTGCACTATGAAGTTATCAGCAGCCACTGCAGTAAACAAAAAAGAAATGTATTGTTAGGCCATGTCGTCATTACCTGAATGTCACAGACTATACTGACACAAACCTAGATGGTTTAGCATATTTCATACCTAGGTTATATTCATGACCTATTGGGACCACTGTCATTTATGCCATCCATGCCGTTGCTGACCAAGACAAGGCTAGGGTAATGATAACATGGCCTAACAATACATTTCTTTTTTTTTTTAAAGATTTATTTATGCATACAAGAATTGGGGTATAGGCCAGAGGTGTAGGGGGTGAGAGGATTCAACAGAGACAGAGTGGGGAACAGAACAAGCAGATTAACTGAAATACACTGCTGAGGGGAGCAGCGGGCAAGACAGGAGAGGTTTGCTGTGTCATGTGGGTTAACTCCCTGGCCGGGGATCGAACTTGTGCTGCAGTGGCTGCCGATAACTTCATAGTGTAGATGCTTAACCCCTTGCACCACCAGGGAGGCCCCCTAACAATCCATTTCTCAGAACAATATCACCATTGTTGAACAACACATATCACCAGTGTGCCACCCACTTCTCAACAGCAAAGGATGCTCCCAACTGCTCAGACCACATGTCATGCCTCCCTGCTTCCACTTTAAGCTCAGGTAAAATGTATGTACCCCATACCGCACACTGCTGTCCCTGTCATCCTGCTATCTCAGGGGCTATCTGCTCCTCCTCCTCAGGCCTTGTGTCTCAGGTTAACCAGCTAACTAGCTTTACCCTTCTTATCTCAGGCCTCATCATCTCAGGAGTCTCCCCTGTGCTCACTCTGGGCTCTTGCCTTTCTAAAGTCTTGCCAAATTATATTGAAATGATGCATCTACAGTTCTGTCTCTCACACTAGACTTGGCCCAGATCCTTTGGCAACAACTATTACTAAAGAATTGATGTATCCAAGTGAGCCCACCAGCACCGGGCAAGTTGTGTTTGGTGGATTGGATTGTTACAAAATGTGTTGTACCCCAAGCCAGGCTTCAAAGACCTTTAATAAACATTGAAAAAAAATGTGCAATGTTTTAATTTCTTGTAAAGGATAAATTCATGTATTCTATAGTTAAAGAACTGTAAAAATAAATGTAAAATAGTTGTGCTCAATGCTGTACTATGCATATAAGAAGTTCTAAGAGAATGGCAATTTTTTTCATCTCTGACTAAGAAGCAGATTAGTGTTTTCTTCTTATAATTCATACTTAGCTTTAACGTAAAGTTTGTTTTTCAGGATCTTCTAGATTGTCTGACTTATTTAGGGCAATGTATTTTAATGCTGCTTTCTCTCATTAATATTGTCTCTTATTTTGCCTCTCTTTGTCAAGTGGGGGGACCTGCACTGATTTCCCAGCACACCTGCCGTGGTTGCATGTACCCCATATCAACAGAGGACTCCAGCGTGAAAGAAATCCTGAAGCATGCTATTTCACACTTTAACAACCACAGTGCTCATTCTCACCTCTTTGATCTTGGAAAAGCAAAACATGCTTATAAACAGGTTTGTTCTTTTATTTTTCATTTTGCACATTGTTAAAATTTGTTAGATTTTTATGCTTAGGATTTTATCAACTGAAGCAAACTGTTGACTGAAAAAACACTGGGTTCTACAACTGGAGGGAGGCTCTTCTATGTCCTCCTGTGACTAACACAGGCAGCAAACATCTTCTGCTTCGGTCAAAGTGACCAGGAAACTGCAACATGTAAAGGCTCCAAGGTGACTCAGGCTCCCTGCTTGGAGATTTGTTTGGAATGAAAGGGTGGTCAGCATTAGAAGTTCTTTCTAGAGCTGGTGAAAGAAGTCATTCTGGCCTGAAGGTTTTAAGAAAACTCTAACACCATGGGGCCTCCCTGGTGGTGCAAGGGCTTAAGACACAACACTATGAAGCTATCTGCGGCCACTGCAGCACGAGTTCAATCCCCGGCCAGAGAGGTGACCCAAATGGTGCAGCAGACCTCTCCTGACTTGCCTGCTGCTCCCCTCAGCAGTGTATTTCAGTCAGCCTGCCTATTCTGTTCCCCACTCTGTCTCAGGTGAATCCTCTCACCCCCTGTACCTCTGGCCTGCACCCCAGTTTTTGTACGTATAAATAAATATTTTTTTAAAAAACTAAAAAAAAAAAAAAAACCCCTCTAACACCACCTTACTATCAAGAGACAAACATGGCTTCAGAATATTAAATTGTACCTTAAAAAAGTTGGCATTGCTTTCTGGGCACCCTCTAAATGAGTTCTTGTATTTCTAGGGGTTGTCGGGCAAGCAAATATCTATAGAACATCCTTTCATTGCCTCAGATCACTAAGCCTTGGCTGACAATTGGCTGGGTCCCTTGTAGTTCAACTTCTAATCATGATGACTCAGCTTTGGCTGGCAACATTCCCTGCTTTTGCTCCGCCTTCCAACTTGCCTTCCTGAAGGATACATGAGCTGCTCAGTTATGTCCATGTCCAGCTATGACAGCAGGACTGGCCCACATTAAAGCAAGAGAAATGCTATTGCCAGCTAGTCCGAGGAACTGAGGACCTAAAGGTTACTTGAGCTCCAAGTTTTCTTAATCTGCCCAGTACAGCATTCTTAATAATTCACAAAATGCAATGGAAAATGTTTTTCTGCATCCTGCCAGAGTCTTCCATAGTAACTCCAACTATACACTGCTTTTCATTTTCAGATGTATACACATGTTTATGAGTGTGTGTGTATTGTGATAAGGGTTGTGTGAATCATAAAATGCTTAATATTTATTTAGTAACAACTTTTGTCTATCAATAATTACAGTTGATACTTCTTGGGTGTTTATGATATCCCAGGCAGTATCCTAAGCCCCTCTGAAAATTGTTTCAGGTGGTAGCTGGATGGAACTTTGATGTTTCCTACTCAATTCTGCAAACAAATTGTTCCAAGGCAGACTTTCCATTATTAACTCCAGACTGCCAGATCCTTTCCAATGGCGTAAGTAAGCAACAATCTAATTATCTGCTTAGCATTTTATGTCCAGGTTTTTTGGTGTGGGAACTCTACAGCTGTGTTAGAACTCTGCCACTAAAATGTTAGATGACACTCACGTTCCCTTGGGAAGGCTCACATCATTGGTCTCTATGCCCTTACCTATGTGGTCAAAGAATCTACACATCAGCAAAAAGCACTTACAGAGATAACCAGGGACTGAGAATAGCGTGAGGCAATGCGATGTCATTGTCAAGTTTGTCTTTCCCCATCTTCACACCTTCCTCCCTCCTTTCCTTCCCCACTTGCTCTGTCCCTCTGTATCTGACATGGCTAAGGCCTAACCCTCCCTGGAGTATTTGCATTTTAACAGAAGACTGTGCTTTAAGCAAAGGGTTGCTGCAAGGCCTTTAACCTGGTAATTCTATTTCTAAATTCCTTTATATGAAAAAGAGAGAGAGAGAGATCTGTACTGCAAGATGTTAATTTCAGTGTTATTATTATTAGGAAAACATTGGAAATAAATTCCTTCAACATTATGGAATGCCTAAGTATATGACAGTATATCCATACAATAGAAGACGGTCCTGCCATTAAAAATTAAGTTTTATGGTTGATTAATTAATCAAAAAATTAAGTTTTGTGACATAATAAAATGGCTATAAGTAAACATAAAACTGTATACAAAAAATATAGTCATTCAATTATATAAAGTAAACTGAGCTAAATCTGAATAATTTGAAAAATAGTATTCATATTATAAAGGTATCAGTGCTTTATTGTATGTCCTCAGTTATTTACACTTTAGTTTACATTACAATACTACTGACTCACAAATAGTTTTGTTTATAAGTCACCAAATCTATTGATATTTTCCTTCTAAATTCTTCCACCATTTGTTCTGTAGTTTATTTTAGTTTTCTTTCTGTTTGTCAAAGTTTTCAGAAATAGTTTTAAATTTAATGTGGAATTAATTTTGTTTGAGGGAGCCAACTGATTTTTCCCAAGAGAATACCAGATAGCTCAGCATTCTTCCCTTCCACACACATTTTGAGATGACATTTCTCCCGTAGTGGTTTCATATGAAAGCTCTGTCCTCTATTTTTGTTCCAAGGCCATCATTTGTTCACAGCCATAGCTTCAAAGTAAATTTAAATACGCGACTTATGGGTCTGATATTTATATCTCCAAAACCAATCTTTCTTGTAACCTAATGTAAAGGTGAATTAAATTATTTTGTGCCCTAGCTATAAAAGTATTATAAATTGTATATTATATGAAAGTACCATTTAAATAAATGTTTATTATGTTATTCAACTCTTTTATAACCGTATTTTTTATCATTGGCCTTCCTTCATTAATAGCATATATAAAATCCTCCTACCGCAATTATTTTTATCCATTTAAACTCACAAAGTTTATAGTTTCTACTTTATTTTGATTCCATACTTCTGGACTGTCTCTTTTAAAAGAATAAATTAATCTTTTCACTACTTTCATGAAATTTTGCTACCTTGAATTTTATTATTCCCAGTATTAATAGTACTCTGCTCCTTTTTTGTTTGTATTTGCTTTAAGTTTCCTTTATCCTAGTATATTATTCTTTAAGATATTCTTTTTTAATATCATAGCTTTTATTTTATTGGTTTACAAATGGTTTGCATAGTTATAATTTGGGGAGTACCAGTTGACACGTCCCTAGGTGCACATGCCTCACTCACCTGCCAACAAGGCTCCAGTCCCATGTCTGATCCCCTTCCTGTCCCTCAACCCATCGCTTCTCCATTCCCACTCCAGTAGCCAGTACATTTTTCACAGAGCCTAAGAATGATGTTGTTGTGCTTCATCATTTTTTTTTAAACTATTTTTTTTTAAATAGAGGCATGTTTTATTTATTTATTTATTCATTTGTTTGTTTTTGTTTATACATGCACTGGATACAGTCAGAAGCGCGGGAGGGTGAGAGAATTCTCAGAGCCAGAGCGGAGAGCAGAGCAGGCAGAAGGACCGAAGTACACTGCTGAGGGGAGCAGCGGGCGGCAGGAGAGGTCTGCGCGCCATGTGGGACCCTCCTCCGGTGGCTGGGGAGCAGCCGGGGATCGAACCGGCGCTGCAGAGGCTGCTGGCAGCTTCGCAACCCAGCGCTCAACCACTGTGCCACGGGGGAGGCCCATACTTCATCATTTTTTTTTCTGTATCTGTATTCTGCAAGTGAGTGAAACCATCTTTCACTTTCTGACTTATTACACTTTGCACAATCACCTCAAGATCCATCCATTTTGTACCAAAAGGAACTTTCACGGATCATTTCCTTTTTTTTTTTCCCATTTTTTTTATTTTAACATTTATCATTTTTTACATTTTTTTATACAATATTTGTTTCCCCCCACTCCCTCATATTGAGTCCCCATAGAATTTCCTTCCCCAAGGCACCTGTGCACCTTCACCACCATCCCCTGTGCTCCTCCCTCCCTCCCTCTCACCCCTCTCCCTCCTCCTCCCTTGCAAGATGTCTCTGGTTTATAATTGTCTGTTTTTGCTTTGTTGTGTTTTGTACTGTTATTATAATTTTTTTTACACTGATGTCTTATTTGGTTCCCCTATATTCCTGTTATAAGTGAAACCATCCGATATTTTTCTTTTTCCTTCTGGCTTATTTCACTGAGCATGATTCCTTCTAGCTCCATCCACATTGCTGCAAATGGCATGAGTTTATCTTTTTTGATTGCTGAATAAAAGTCCATTGTGTATATATATAACATCTTCTTGATCCAGTCATCTATTTTTGGGCATTTGGGTTGTTTCCAGGTTTTACCTATTGTAAATAGTGCTGCAATAAACATAGGTGCTGGAGACCAGCTCCAGCTAGATGTCGTGTCAGGGATCTCAGAAAGGAGAGGACAGCTTCGTGAAATTTTCTGAAATTTTTGGAGGGCTGAGGGGAATTGGAATGAGGTAGTAAGGAGACACTGACACTCTCTCTAGTGCAAATATCTCCTGCTGAGGGTTTCAGTGGGTCTTTATTTATACCTTAAGGCAAGCAGTGGGATTACATCAGCATAAGCATTGAAGCAGAGCAAAGACAATCAATGCATATTTTCTCATGAACATGTAGCAGACTCCCTTGGTCTCATACCAAAAGGGCATTTCTTTGGTTACCTCAAAAAACATCAGGAACAATTAGTTTCCTAGGTACAGCTCATTTTCTAACATGATCAATTATATAAGACAGCACAACATTTGCAATGATTAAGCATTCTATTGAATTTTCCTAGTTTCCTAGTGGGTGTAAATGTTCTATTCTATTCTCTATTACTAAAAATCAACCTATCTCCTCAGCACTCAATTACTTCAAAGTGGCCTAAAGCAACTCATCAAATCCATGTTAGTTCTACTGAAGTCTAGCTCTTAACTAGAGATTCCTAACCTCCACATGGCCTGTGAACTATTGACCTTTTGCATACACCGGGAAATGTACTGCTGCCTCAAACATGTACCCCCTGTTTAAGGCTACGGTTTCCAAGCACAGCTGGTTCAGGGCGGCTTGTTTCCATAGTTCTCAGGGCCAAAACATTTCTTTCCTAACTATACCTTTAGCAGTTTGTACTTTCTTTGATACTGATTCAAGTGTAAGAACAATAAATCAATTAACGTCTAGGTCCGAATTGGGTTTTCACAAGCCAATTAATAACTAACTTACTTGAGCTTTAACCAAGAACAAAGAGGAGAGCATTAGCACACGTTGCCATGGAGACTCCCTAGTTCAGATCTTCTTGGGAAGTGTAAGAACTCCCTTCTTCTGGGAAGTACAATTTTCCCTCTTCTGGGGAGCACAGGGGCTCCCCTCTTCTCCAGGATCTCCACCAATGCCTGGACCTTGTCAAGAGACAGCATGGGTAGCACAGACTGCTGCACATAGGTATACAGGTGCTCTTTTGAATAGCTGTTTTTGTGTCCTTTGGGTAGATCCCTAGGAGTGGAATTGCCGGATCGTATGGTAGCTCCATTTTTAGTAGACTGAGGAACCTCTAGACAGCTTTCCACAATGGTTGGACCAGTTTGCACTCCCACCAGCAATGTAGGAGAGTTCCTTTTTCACCGCATCCTCACCAACATTTGTTGTTGCTTGTTGTTATTGATATGTGCCATTCTTACTGGTATAAGATGGTATCTCAGTGTGGTTTTGATTTGCATTTCCCTGATTATAAGGAATGTTGAACATTTATTCATATGCCTGTTGGCCATTTGCTTTTCCTCTTTGGAGAAATGTCTTTTAAGTTCTTCTGCCCATTTCTTGACTGGATTGTTTATTTTATTTTTGTTGAGCCATGTGAGTTCTTCGTATATCATTGTGATCAGTCCCTTATCAGTTGGATGGAGTGCAAACATTTTTTCCCAATCAGTGGGGTGTCTCTCTGTTTTGGTCCTGAAACCATAAAATATATAGAAGAAAATATAGGTAAAACACTACAAGACATACATCACAAAAACATCTTTAAAGACTCATCACCCAAAGCAGTGATGGTGAAGGCAAAGAAAAACACCTGGGATTACATCAAAGTAAAAAGCTTCTGCACAGCAAAAGAGACTTTTTTTAAAAAAAAGATTTATATTTTTATTTATTTATTTAACAAGCACTGGGTACAGTCAGAAGCGTGGGAGGGTGAGAGAATTCACCAGAGCCAGAGCAGGGAACAGAACAGGCAGTCTAGTGAAGTGCAATACTGAGGGGAGCAAAGAGCACGCAGGAGAGGTCTGCACACCATGTGGGACCCTCCCCTGCTGCTGGGGATCAAACCAGCACTGCAGAGGCTGTGGGCAGCTTTGCAGCAGCCCAGTGCACAACTGCTCCGCCACGGGGAGGCATGTCACAGATCATTTCTATGGTTTGTTACAAGATATTTTTCCTAAAGTTAAACAATTGATTTTTTTTTAACTTATCTGAAAGTCTTTGCCTTTCTAAATGAAAATGTTGCCATTCATTTATATGGCTATTATTTCTACATTACATTTTCCTGACATCTTATTTCATATTTCTATGTATATGTGTTGATTATTAGTTTTGATGCAATTACATAACTTTCTTATTCTTCTTAAAACTACACTTTTTTTTCCCATGCAAAGATTGTAAAGTTAATTTATTAGTAAATTTATTTCACTACTTGTATAAAGTTTCTTAAGAACATTTTTTAACTTATGCTCTTGTGTACTTTTTTAAAACCAGGATATCGGTGAATGCACAGATAAAGCATCCATGGACGTTTCGCAAAGAATTACTTCCCTCATACAGAAGTGTGAGACTTCTCCAGGTATGAGAGAACTCACATTGGTGCTTCAGTAGTGTGTGCTGAGCCACACCACTCTGATCATGTCACAGCAGCTGTGATATGTGCTTCCATCCTATGCCACAAAGTCTGTGTGGCAACAGAGCCTGCTGAGGACACTGTACCTCATCTCAACCCTTCTGACAATACTGAACCCCATCTCTGTCCAGCTGTGTGGCAGATCAGGGAACTGAGAGTGCTGGCCCAGGGGTCCATAAGGGATATTGTGCCACAAGGGGAACTTTCTGTTCTCTGAGCCTGCTGGGCCTCCTTGTTACGAGATGTCCCTAAGCCCTGGGATATTCAGTTAGGTAAAGCTGACCACATTTTTAACTGCTCAGAATAAAATCCTCTCAATTAAAGTTTTTTTTTTCTTCTCTCTCCATGTTATAATTAGGAAAATGGTTGAGCTTATGATCAAGTCAGTATTTCTATACCAAGAGCTGGCTTTTATCCCACCTGCAAGATAGTTGTATGGACTCCACAGTAAGTAGCATTCCTGAAGCTGCCAGCTCACCAGGAACAAAGGACTTAAAATTTTCCCATTAGAGAGTGATCCCTTTAAGTTAAGAATTAATTGCCTTTGACAGCCTCCAACAAAAATACATAAGTTATGAAAAGCACACTATTTTGGTTGAGGCATTAAGACCTTCTGATTGGCTGATTCCCTAAATACCCTGGGCTCAGAGGAGAGAAGTAAGAGGAAAGGCAGCAGGCAAAGGCCAGAAAGTCAGCCTCCACCTACTCATTCCTTGGGCAGCCACACGACCCTCTATAAATGGATACTGGATCATGAATGGGACAGGTGCAAGGCTAGATTGCACCTTCTGTGTATACACTTACTTAAAACCTGATTCTTTCAGCGCTGAATTTTCCTCTCGTGACGTGTAAAGGCTGTCCCAAAGAGATCCCTGTTGACAGCCCAGAATTGAAAGAGGTTCTGAATCTTTCCATCAAAAAGCTGAACGCAGAAAATAATGGAACTTTCTATTTCAAGATTGACAATGTGAAAAAAGCCACAGCCCAGGTCTGTTAATTATGCTACAAATGAAGTTAATATAGCAGTATGTGTGCAAATTGCTTACTAATTGTGTGAAGATCCTGATTCTGGATTGGGAAATAATAGAGCTGATGAATGAAATTTGAAAGATTTGAAGTTCACATCATAGTATTACTGCAAGCTTGGTGTGTGATCCTGAATAAGTGACTCTCCATTTTCTATCTGTAAAGTCTGCGGTGATGATCAAATAAGGGGATGTGTGGTCATCACTTTTTAAACTCTCAAGTGCTATATAAATACTAGTAGCTGTTACATGATTAATCAAATTCAGGGCTAGAAAAAGGAAGACTTATTTTATGCCTTTCTAGATTCATCTGTCATTGTAACATACTTAGCACCCTGAGCTCAGTCACAACAGTAAGTTGTTATTACCCAGACTCTTCACATTTTCATATCCATGTCATTTTCCCCCAATCTCCCTGTCTGGGGTAACCTCTGGGATGTCCTCTGTCTTCCACACCTGTCAGCAGAGGATAAGGAGAGCCCTGGTCTGGGGCTCAGGACACCCAGATCTATCAGTTATCTAACCACTCACGTCCTGGATGCCCCGGGACTGTCCTTCAGGTTCACACAGCCTTAGTCGTCCCATCTGTAGCAGAAGTGGCTGGTTGGGTGGAGCCCAAATCCCTTCCAGCTCCAGCAGCCTAATGTGATGTGGGCAGATTACTATTATAGAACCTCAAAATTGGTTTCCTTAAATACAGGCTTGAAAAAAAGTAATCAAAATAGAACCAGCTGTTAGACCAAACCAACATTATCTTTATCTTTATAATTGGAACAAAAAAATCTTACTAAAAAATTTCATGCTTCTGACTCAGGGTGTCTAGAATTCTAAAATAGGAGTTTTTAATCTCTCTCTCTCTCTCTCTCTTTCTCTCTGTCTCTGTCTCTCTCTCTCACACACACACACAAACTTAAATCCTGCACCAAGTGCTCAATAACTTGTTGTAGAATTGGGTAATATCAGCTAACTTTAAAAAATATAATTTCAAAATATTTTATCAAGTGCCTTTTTCAAGTATGTAAGAGATGGAGGAATACCATTATTAAATGTTGAAAATATCACAGTTGTGATTTTGTTGAAATCAGAGTATTTTTAAAACACAATGAGTTTAATTTCTACAATAAATAAATTGTGTGCTTCTTTAAGGCCCTCCAAAACAGAAGAAAAGAACTTGGACCACACATTGCTTGATGGAAAACACCATTGTATAATGATTTAAACTATCACTGGCAATGGAAATAGTTTTCTAATATAAAAAAAAAAATTGGGGGAGAAGCAAAACTGAAAACCCAAAGAGTTTTCCTAATCATGTCATTTAATTAACATAATATCCATAGTGAGACTGTTTTTCTGATTCTTTTAGCAAGACAAGTCATGTATAGAGAAAATGTTTTAAGTTTTTCTTCCTACTCCTTTTAGATTCCAGTACAACCTGAACCTTGAATTACCTGTGAATTTTGTAGTTGTTGAACAATGAAACTCAGAAAATTATTAACATTACATCCTGCTCTTCTTTTCCCATTGGGAAAAGAAATAGGACCAGCCAATAGTAAAATATTTCACACATGCATATAAGCCAGAAGTTTTGCTGTCAGACATTTGAATGATTTGTTATAGTTCCTAATTAGCATGTAATCAAAATGTCAGTGTTCTCTCTTTTTAGTCCTTAGAGTAGAAGCAGATGTTTGATACAATTTTATTTAAGCTGTATACCTACGTTATGCTAATTAATATTCCAGGTGGTGGCTGGAACGAGCTACAGAATAGAATTCATGGCCAGGGAAACCACATGTTCCAAGGAAAGTAATACAGAGTTCACCAGTAGTTGTGAGACCAAAGAACCAGGGGTAAGCAGTAATGCAATTGTCTACTTATTTCCTGGAAGCTTATTTGATGTTTCAAACTTGGTTAAGTATCTCATGAATTACAGTGTTTTCTCTTTTGGCCTCTATTTTCTTCATAGCAAGCTCTAATCTGTAATGCTAATGTTTACATGAGACCTTGGATGAACGAAACCACAACGACTGTCAAGTGTGATCCAAACACAGAGGTATGATTATGTTTATAGTCATCTTGGGTTCATCTTGGCTCATTCGAAAAAGTCATATTTGGGAGCTTAACCTAAACTATTAATGAAATGAATTGGGTCATTATTTTTTACAAATGCGAAGAAATCTCATGTTTCTCTGTTTACTCTCTTTTGTGGCTAGAAATGAGAACAGCAGTCCTCTTAATATTTCCCACACATTGCCAGTGTCCAGGGCGAGATAGATTCTCTCCTCGTACAGTGCAGACCCTGCTGTGGGGTGCTAACATAGCTGCACATCTTCCTGTGGTGCCTGAGGTGAGGCACAGGACTCCACTGCCCTCTGTTTGTAATTAAGCAGCTTGGGAGAATTGCAGATCTCAGCCCCCATGCTGCATCTTCTGAGTCAAAACCTGCATTTTGACACCATCCCCAGGGGATCATACCTATACTCAAGTATAAAAAGCATTATTTTTCATCACTTTTTAATGTTTTTAATAGAATTCTGGGAGGTGAGTAGTATTTCCCCATTCTTAAGACACTAAAAATTAGAAAGATCTGAGCTCCTACAGTAAATAATGACATTACCAAGTACATCTTCAGTCCTAGGCTCTGGCCTGAGGATTTCAAATACATTTTCCTCCTGAAAACTCTACAAGAAAGATGCTGTTATTGTTAATGTGCAATTGGAAAAAGTGAAGTTAGCGGTGCTTGGATTCAAATCCAGATCAAACCAGGCTCCACCCTGGTTGCCATGATGCCCACGACTACAGGGTCCAACTTGTTTGACTCCAAAGACTGTGCTCTTTACACCACTGAACCCTGCCTTAAACACCACACAGGTAGTAACAGTATAAGGATAAATAATCCACAAATCCATATCTTCAATACAAATTGCCTCTTTTTACTTTTTGCTGATTTAGGTTTTTTACTCTGTGTAGGTTATACATAGTCTAACATAAGCAATATAGTCCAATGACTGCATGGCAAGCTTGTGGACGTGTTTTGAAGTGTTCACTCCAACAAAGTACTTGTGGATATGTGATACCTATATATTCAACTCATGAAGTCAGTTAGAGCCTTTCAGGATGAAAGCAGTAATTTTGGCAATAGAAACTGTATCAATTAATAATGTGTTGCAGATTTATATAAAAAGAGGCTTGAAAGTTACACTGATATTATATATTTTTTTCCAGATGAAATAAAGACTCCCCAGCTTGTTTTAGTATATTATTAAAAAACAGTAATTAATGTCTACAAATTAAAGCTAATCAGAAGAGGAAAAGATATTATTCATCCCATACTTTCCAGAATAAAAATATAGTATTTAAAATCTGGCAAAGACATGCACCCTGTAACTGAGTTAGCCTTGCCTGGTCTCTGTCCCTTCTTTCTTCATTAACAGTGTGGTTTTCAGAGTAATACATTCATCTTAATATTTCTGTTTAGATTATGTTGATGAAAAGGCCTCCAGGTTTTTCACCTTTTCGATTGTTGGTGATGATGGATGAAAGAAAAGAAACAACTGTAAGTTCACCCCACACTTCCATGAAACCTGTACAAGATGAAGAACAGTATTCAGGAAAAAAGCCAAGAACACACTCGTGGGCATGGCAGGGCCCATAAAGAACAAATAAAACATGGCCTTGGTCATGGCCATAAACATGAGCATGACCAAGGCCATGGGCACATAAGGGATCATGGCTTTGGTGTTGAACATCAAAGGGGTCATGGCCAAACCCATGGGCATAAACATGAACATGGTCATGGCCATGGAAAACACAAAAATAAAAACAAAAGCAATGGAAAGCACAAAGGAAGGAAAACAGAGCATTTGGCAACCTCTTCTGAAGACAGCACTACACCCTCTACACAGACACAAGAGAAGACAGAAGGGCCAACGCCCACTCCTTCCCTAGCCCAGCCAGGGGTAGCAGTCACCTTTGCTGACTTTCAGGACTCAGATCTCTTTGCAGCATTGATGCCTAATCCATCACCAGCTCCCACGGAGAGTGATGATGATTGGCTCCCCAACATCCAGGTACAACCTGATAGCTTTTCCTTTAGCCTGATATCTGATTTCCAGAAACACTTCTCCCAAATGTCCTGGGTGCCCCTGGAAGCCAGTTAATGGAATGATCCAGCTGTGGAAATGAAAGAATTTCATGATTTTGATCTCTCTGATGCACTCTATAATTAATGCTGCCATGGGTATTTCTTTTGCACTTTATCACCTTCTTCCTCCATTGTCCCAATATCCTGATATGATGCACCAAACCCATAAAATTTCAAACAGCCTAGTGATATTTACAATGGTGACACTTGATCTCTATAGACAACGCAAAACTGAAAGCTAAGTCCTTTCTGAGTTTGCCTCACACATTTTCCTACTGTCACAGAAAATGGACAAATGAATATGCCTTATGGTCTGTTTTCTTTTCTGATAACAAACCTATACCTTAAAAGGAACGTCACTGATTTTGACAATCTAAATAAACTGGCATCTAGTCCCTGACACATGAGAAAATAAAAGAAGTCAAGAGACTGAATGGTGAACTTACTGGGTAAATAATAATAATCTCCAAAAGTCAAAGAAGAACAATTGAAAGAGAGACTGGTCAGAGGGAGGAAAATGGGAAGTCAATGAATTGCCATCTGTTTCTAAAATGACCTATATTATTTTTATTTATTTTATTATTTTATTTTTACATCATTGTTCATTTTTAAACAATATTCCCCCCACGCCCTCATGTGTAGTCCCCATAGACTTTCCATCACCAATGCAGCCCTTTACCATCACCTCAGTCCCCTGTGCTCCTCCCTCCCTCTGACCCCTCTCCCTCCTCCTCCCTTGCAGGATGTCTCTGATTTTTAATTGTCTGTTTTTGTTTTGTTGTGTTTTGTACTGTTATTTTTTTACACTGGTGTCTTATTTGGTTCCCCTAAATTCCTCCTATATGTGAAACCATCCAATATTTTTCTTTTTCCTTCTGACTTATTTCACTGAGCATAATTCCTTCTAACTACATCCATGTTGCTGTGAATGGCATGAGTTTATCTTTTTTGAATGCTGAGTAATATTCCATTGTGTGTATATACCACATCTTCTTGATCCACTCATCTATTTTTGGGCATTTGGGTTGTTTCCACATTGTACCTATTATAAATAGTGCTGCAATAAACATAGGGGTACAGGTATTCTTTTGAATCAATGTTTTTGTGTCCTTTGGGTGGATCCCTAGGAGTGGAATTGCTGGGTCATAGGTAGCTCCTAAAATGGGCTATTTTATACCATATAATTATGCCCACTTGACAAAGCTAGTCTAATAATCTTCTTTCTCAGTAAGAGTGTTTCTCATAAGTCAACATTTTCTGTTTATTCATTAACTATTCTTTGCAACAGACTCAGAGTTTTCTGTTTTTGCTGAGGCTAGAATGAGTAATCCTTCGTTTTCAACAGATCTGAGTTTAATGAAAAATATGAAAACAGAGGAAGAAATATAGAGGCAGACTTGCTAAGAAATTCCCCTTTTTTAATAATCAGTAAAGGAATATCACAAGATGTGATACAAATTGTTCCGGGACAAAATGAAGAAACAAAATGAGGAAATGCCTCCATGACCTTACTTTATAATCACATCATCTTTTTGCTACTAAAATTCCATTGCCTTATCATGAGAAGGAGATGTACATTTTATAACCTGTACTGTGATGTTGCCTGGAGAAACAAGAGAGGGCTTTCGACGCTACATTCACCTGTGCGTGTGTGCACCACTGCCATCACTTTATTGCATGCTTCTGAGCCTGAGTTTAAAATCTTTTCAAATATTATCTGTATTTGTAAACAAAGAACCAGTGTTTATTGGTTCTTAAAGTCTCACCTTGTCAACTTCGTTTTTTCTTTCATTGAATGCTAACATCAGATTAACAGAGTTCTGCTATATTTACAGGGGCTCCAAAAGTCCTGCGAGTACCAGGTCCATCCTCGGGAGGCAGGGCCTGGAGCAGCTCCTAAGAATGAGGCAGCACCCCCACAGCAGGCACAGTAACCCCACCAGCCCCTCTCAGCAGCCCCGAGTGCACAGACAAGAAGATGAGATGGAGTTTAAAGAGAGAAGAATGTCATTTCATCACTCTGTTGCTGAACCAAATAAAGTTCTGTGTTGATAGTCTCAGTCCTGATTAATTCACAGTGGTTTCCTTCAACCACACCTCCTGCAACAGTCAGGCGATGGAGTGCCATGGCTGGTGCTGCTGGGACTCAGAGCTTGCTTCTGAAGCACCCTTGCTGACCAAGGCAAGAATCCCATAGATATTGTATTTTTCCCATGACAAAGGTAGGAGAACACATCTAGGTATCATTCACATGCAAAATACATAAAATAATTTGTTATGTATTGGGTAGTAGGCATAGATTTGGCTTATAATTAACTTTTTATTCATGTATTATAGCATAATATGAGACCCATTGCTTTTAACTTCATTTAAAGGAAGTCTTAATTCTTCAAATGGAAGCTATACCATTATAAGCAATCATTTTATAATTATTGTAGATTTATTAATCTTTTTTACCTGGCCATTTCGTAACTATTAGGTGGGTATCAATTTGCCTATCACTAGTTTTTCATTATAAAATTAAGGGGAATAGCAGGTTACTCAACGGATGTTAAATTTTCATTATTCTCATGCAAAATATTTTGAGTTTATATTAGACAACAATAAACATACAGCTGAAACATTTATTAAAATTTACTTTCCAGAGGCAGGGATGGATGATACATAATGATTAAGGGAACAATACATAAGGAAACATAATACTCTTCAATTTATACACATCAAATGAAGGAACATAATGTATCAGGTAATTACTATCAAACGTGAATACAGACACCGGGAAAAACACATTAGTGGCTGGAGACTTCACTTTTACCAATGGAAGACTCAGCCACACGGTAAATAAGGACACAATAACCTTAAACAAAGACTTACACTGCATAGGAAGGGCAGGGTGGGCAGCACAGGACACCAGACCAGACAGCAATGGAGGCAGCAACACCGGGAGGTGGTACCAGGAGGTCAGGAGCTGTTAACAGCCCTCAGAGGTGACCTGGACACAGAGTGCTGGTCACTCTCAACAATAGGTCACCACTGGTCACTAGGAGGCAGCAGTGTCAGAAACACCATCTTAACATCTCTTTGTAAGTTGTTGGCCCATCGCAACAACAAACAGCTCTTTAGGACACCGGGCCGGGCCTTTGGAGTTCTTTCAGGTAATGTCAGAGACAGGCTAGAGGCAAGTGCCGCCCGCCCAGCTGCTGGGAAGCTCTTTGGGTCCTCTGCAAGGCTTTCAGCATCGCTTCTTTCTGAGGTCAGCTGCTTGTTCTTCTTTCTTCTTCAGAGATTAGGGACAGAATCCTTCTGTGAGAGTCCGAGTGTCTGAGCATCCCAACCTATCTTCTGCACTGCCTTATATTCTCTTCCCGGGTTCTCCACCCCTCCTCCAAATCTGATTGGAGTGTTTTCAATTTTATGGCTGATTGAACCATTCCGCAATCAGCTCATAGCACACACCTTATGGTTCCATGCTATGATCCAGGCATGGGCCTCTCTACTCCTGGCAGCTGCAGCCAAGGCATTGGGCCTGGCCCCATGGAGGTCTGTGTTCCTCCCTACAGTCTCCCTGCAGCTGCATGCCCTGGGGCGGTGTGGTAGGGGAACCACTGCCAGCCACCATCACTGCCCACCTCTGCCTGTAGTCTGAGCCCCAGTGGGGCCACTGGTGACTGGTGGTAAAATGCCCACCACCCACAGCCGCTTGCAGTGCCCACAACAGCTTCTGGGGCCAGCCACTGGTCTTGCCCTGCACAAGCTATTAGACTCTGGCTTCAAAAGCACTCTCAGAAAGTGCATAGTTCTAAACCTGACTTCACAGATAGGAAAACTGGGCTTCAGAGTGCTTATGCCACTCACATTTCACCACACGGCTAAGGGTAGAACCATGACATCTGGGTCTGCTTTCCTCTCCCATCAGGGTCAGTCATCATTTAATCCATTTTGAGTTGTTTATTATAGTTCTGCTTTTATGTATATCTGTATATTTATATATCTATCTCACTATATATAAATATATATTCTTACATTGTTAATTTTTGCACAGTATTTGATTTCTACCCTCAGGTGTAGTCCCGAGTTCTTGGGAGTCCTGCTTTTCATTCTAGCTGGAGTGATGCTCCTTCAGCGTGCACACCTGATGCGCTTCCTCAGGCCTCACACCTTTCTTCCCCTCCCCATGCCTGTGGTCTCATCTTTCCAACCTCTTATCATACAAAGCACAAGACCTGTGAATAATTGTTCACTCACCGGTTGAAGCTAACTCTTTGTTGTGTGCAGAATTTGAACACATAGTGTCCATAACCACTGTCATTGTGGATAAAAGAAAATGCCCAATGCCCAGCTGGAGGGAGCTCAGGTCATTAGCTATGGGTTTGTTAATCAAGCCTTGAAAACAGTTTGTGTCTGGAGTTATTTAAGAGCTGTAGATTAGTAATCTAACTAGATTTATTGCCCCTTGATTCCAGAGAACCTAACAATTCCTAGCATTGTGGAGTTGCACAATAAGGTTTGTTGAGTTTCCAACAATTATCGTGATATTCTTGTAGCACAGCTGTCTCTTTGTGACACGTGTGGGTCTAGCCCTCCCTGTACAGAATCTCCTATGAGGAAGGTGCTAGGATATGATAAACCCATTTTACAGATCTAGATACTGAGGCTTATAGTAGTTATGTGACTTTCCAAGTACTTTTGTGGATAATTGAAGAGTTACAATCAGGCTAGAGGTTTAATATTTGGTCTGATGAACAGCGTTAACACGAGCAGATTTCTGTCCTGGTTCTGTAACTATTTCATTCATGATTTTTATTTAGACATGCTTCCTTTCCACCCTCAGTTTTCTCACCTGGGAAATGGGCCACTTGGATTTATTAAACTACATTCAGAGGTGATTGACTAATTTACCTTTAAGACAATTATCACCAGTCATTTACAACACCGTGATTGGGTTTTCAAGAGCAGGTTTATCAAATTGTTATAGGGCAGCCCCGATATTGAACGGGTTCCTGGCTGTGGGTCCTCACCCGCGTGCTTAAAAGGGACTTATTAATACTCCACTGCAGGCATACACAAAAGGTTAATACAAGGTTTATTTACAAGGGAAAAGGAAATAAGGAAAATCTACAACTAAGGGAGAAAATAGGGAAATAAAGTCTTTAATGCGTCCTACCTGATCCGCCGAACTGGAAACACAAAAAGCACTCTCAGAGCTGGCCAGACACTGCGAGCTGGCGGAGAGTCAAAATGGGGGATCCCTCCAAAGCCCACATGTCTGGCTTTATACCAACCTGGCTGCTTAACCCCACCCTCAGATCCCAGCCACCTTCCCTTTGGTGGTGATGGGATTTGGAGTTCCCAGTGTCTTTGGCTTTGGCCTGGGGTGGGGGTGGTGTCCACAAAGCCTGTATGGAATTAGCTTTAGGACATCCTTTTCCCCCTAACAGTTTATTATGGAAAACCTCAATGAGAATGATCCCTACTTATCTGCTAGTGCAGCAATTCCAATACTGTGTTTTGTGGTTCATGGCAAATACCTAGTTTATAGTCAAGTAAATGTAGGAAATTGTGGTCTAAAATAGGTTTCTTCCCCTCAAGGCATCTGAGGTGATACCTTTAATGTGCTAATGAATGCGAAACCATCCTAGATCCTGCTTCTGTGGGTGCAGCAAGGGCTATACTTACCTAAGCAAAGACCATTGGGGACAGGGGTGGGAGGAAGTATGAAGTGGGGGGCGCAGGATACAGATCCATGGACTACACTTCCATGATATTCCAATCTAGATGCTTCACTCCATTTCTGACTCTTTTTTTTTTCTCATTGCATGTACAGTTTTTAATTCTTTTTTCTTAATCATTTCCCTGAATCATAAAAAGCTTTAAAAATGTGAGTCTCACAGTTATATAACATCCCATTTTATAAATGATGTATTATAATTTACTTAGACAATCTCCTGTGTTGAAATCAGTATTTACATCCAACTCTCTACTTTCACTTTAATTTATTTTTTTATTTTTTTTAAATAATAAATTTTATTTTTATATTCCCCATACAATTGCAACCCCCCATTCTGACCCCAATCCCTCCCCTCCCGCCCCCCCACCCCCAAAAAGTGTCTCTGGTTCATAGTTTTTTGTTGATTTTGATTTTCACTTTCTTATAGTTATTCATTTTCCTGGTCCCTTATTTAAGTTTTCTAGATTCCTGCTATGAGTGAGACCATCCGGTATTTTTTTTTTCTTTTTGGCTTATTTCGCTGAGCATGTGTGAAAGCACTTGTAACTGCAACAGGGTGGTCCCCAAGAAAGGGGGAGCTTCCAAGTTTCTGCCCCACCCAAAGGAGGGTGGAGCTGAGCAGAGAAAGAAGAAGCTGCAGAGGAGACTGAGGAAGGAAGGAAGCAGGATGAGGAGCTAGAAGCAGACCTGAAGGAGGCACATGCAACCGAGAGACACGTGAAGAAACTACACTTGCCTTTTGGTCGTGGACTGGTTAAAACAGATGTGGGTAAGACACTGTGGGGAGGTGACGGCGGGTTTTGTCTTGATTTTGACTTTGCTCTTTTCCCTCCAGACTTGTCTGCTTGTTTCTGATACTTTTCTGTGCGTCCCCACTGGAAGGTGCTTTAGACTTGTGACAGGCTTTGGGGCCTTGCTCTGGGCCAATCCTGCTTGGGTGGACTTTTACCCACGAAGGGATGGGTAACTTTGAATGCTTGATTTAGAAACTATATTCTTTGCCTTTCCTGTATTGTTTCCTAATTGTATTAAAGTTCCTTCCCATTAAAGTCTCATATGTTTTGTGTTGATGTGGCAGATGGCAGAACCTATTTAAAGCAGGCAGGTTTGCCGGGTCTGGGATGCACCTCACCCTGCCCTGTAACATAACCACTGGCACCAGGGCCCAAGCTGGTTCATGTCCGAGCATGGCTGAGGATTTCAGCTGGAAGGAGGTGCAAGAGAACCAGGGAGGGTGTGAGAATCCTGCATATTCTGATGCAGGTGGATACCTGGACACAGCAGAATCCAATCACCACCAAGAAGGAGACTTGACACAGGT